TTCCTGTTGTTAATTTAATAATTAACACTCTTAATGTATGACATCAGTGATCACCCAAGTCTCTTGAAATGAACTACCTCAGCTATGGAAGCCTTTTGAATCCACAAACTCCACTGGTATTTAGACAAGGCCATAAGCAAAATAGAAAACCTCTCCTCTCTTCAGAGAAAAATACCTCCTTCATTGATGGCCATTTCTTTCCACTGGGGTATCACTCACAGAGATCTTTCATGTAGAACAATTTTTGCCACAGTGCCTTGGCTTTCCATGCCTGAAATGCTCTCATGGGCTTTTCAGCCAGACCAGGATGTCTTAAAGGCTGATTCTGAGGTCAGACTGCTACTTAAAGTGACTGTCATTTTACGAGTATACTGTGTAGACTGCTTCCCATGTTGGAACATTCTTTCCTTTTTAATTCTATTATTATTACCATGGCAAGTTTTTAAACTTCACCCTTAGAAGTAAGTCCACAGGACTGTATGCAGAATTATTCTGCTTTATGGTTACAAACTTCGTACATTTCACAATTACAACTTTAGGAACATGGTGATTCTTACCACTGTGCCCACCCTCCCATCCACCCTCCCATCCCCCTTCCTCCTCCCTCATTTATTCTCAGTATATTTGTTACTAAGTTCTATGATCAATTAACTTTATATACATATGATTAACTCTATGTTAAGTAAAGAGTTCAACAATTAGTATGAAAGAAAAATGTTAAAATAAAAGAGGAAAAAGAACCACAAACAGAAAAAAAAAACTTTTCCTCAACATTCAAGACAAGAGCTATTCAAAGTCATTGCTTCTAATGGTGTCAATTTCACTTCTACAGGTTGCCTTTTAGGTGCCCTATTAGTTATCACAGGTCAGGGAAAGCATATAGTATTTGTCCCTTTGGGTCTGGCTTATTTCACTAAATAGGATGGTTTCAAGTTTCATCCATTTTGTTGCAAATTACCAGGTTCTATTTTTTTTTTTTTTTTTTTTTACTGTTGTGTAGTGTCCCATGGTGTACACCTATCAGTCTTCAGTTGACAGGCATTAATGTTAATTCTATGTCTTTGTTATTGTGAATTTAGCTGCAATTAACCTAGGGGTACAGATAGCTCTTTCATATGTGGATTTCATTTTCTTTGGGTAAATTCCCAGGAGTGACATAGCTGGGTCATATGATAGATCTATATTCAGATTTCTGAAGTATCCCCATACTGTTTTCCATAATGGCTTTACCAGTTTACATTCCCACCAACAGTGGACTAGGGTACTGTTTTCCCCACATCCTCACCAGCATACGTTGTTTGTTGATTTCTATATGAAAGTCATTCTAATGGAGTTGAGGTGAAACCTCATCGTGATTTTCATTTGCATTTCTCTGATGGCTAGTGATCCTGATAATTTTCTCATGTGTCTATTGACCTTTTGGATTTTCACTTTTAAAAAATGTATAACTCTTTGCCCATTTCTTAACTGGGTTGTTTGTTTTGTTGTTGTTGAGTTTCTTGGTATCCTTAAATATTCTGGTTATTAATCCTTTAACAGTTGTATAGTTTGCAAATATCTTCTTCCATTCTGTCAGCTGTCTCTTCACTTTGCTGATTGTTTCTTTTTGCAATGCAGAAGCTTCTCAATTTGATATCCTCCATTTGATGATTTTGGCTTTGATTGCCTGTGCGTCTGGGGTCTTTTCCAAGAACTCTTTGCCTATGCCAGTTTCTTGCAAGGTTTCCCCAAAGTTTGATGGCATCGGGTCATAGACTAAGGTTTCTAGTCCATTTTGAGTAGATTTTAGTAGAAGTGTAAAGTAGAGGTCTTGCTTCATGCTTCTGCATATGGTGATCCAGTTTTCCCAGCATCATTTGTTGAAGAGAAGGTTCTTGCTCCTGAGATAGTGCTGGGCAGGTAGGAGAGTCCAGCAGGCAGCGTTTCCCCTCTGCAGGGGTGGCTCCCTCTCCCTTCCTGTTGCCGTACAGCTGTCATGGAGGAGGAAGGAATTCTTCTGAATTGTTGTGGCCCTCAGTGACTGGGTGGGGGGTGACCCCTGTTATTGCTGGGCCCATGCATGAGAGGTAGGGCAACAGCTACCACCTGCCTTTGTCTAAAAATGGCATGAACCCTTCCCCTAGTGGCTGCAGGTCTCTGCTGTAGCAGGGAATGGGGGAAGGAGAGAGATGTGCCACCTTTTGTTTTTCCCACCTCTGGGTGCTTGGATGCCTGTTGCCTTAGGGGGGTCCGTATGGAACTGTAAAAGCAGTTCACCAAGCTCTTCCTCCCACTGTCTCAGCAGTGCTCTGGGCCCATGGATTACCCTCTCCTTTGGTTTGCAAGGGCAGGTGTCATTTTCCTCCTTGATCCAAGATTTTGTTGTCTTTTGTTATGTATTTTCTCCCCTTTTGTAAATATTAATTTCACCCCACATAAATCAGACAGACAGTCCTATCGCTATTTTGGCATCTTGGAACCTCCTGATTTTTTTTTTTTTTTTGACAGGCAGAGTGGACAGTGAGAGAGAGAGACAGAGAGAAAGGTCTTCCTTTGCTGTTGGTTCACCCTCTAATGGCCACCGAATTTTAATTAATTTTTAACAGATTTAACGTGTAGATACAAGTTCAAGAATATAATGAACATATCATTGCTCTTTTTCAGATTTCTATTACACGTAGGTTGCACAGAACCATTTAATGCAGAATTGACTCCCATTTTTTACTTATACCACAAATTTATTCTAAAGCAAATTAAATAATCAGGAAAGACTCAAAGCACGGAAGACTTCAACCATTACTGTAACTTTAGGAAACCACATGTCAAGAAAAGTTGAGCATCCTCTCAGTAAGAATCTAAACATTTTCCTTTGAGATGAATTTTAGTTATTTTTCTTCTGCCTTGATGGAGTTAACTTTAATCTTCCATGGCAGCTTAAGTCGATTTCTTGCCCTGTATTCATTCACTGGAGATGGAAACTAGCTGTCCCCATCCCCATCTCATAACATGTTAGTGGGAATGTTTCAACAGCCAACTATTTAGGACATGGCCTTTTTAAAAAGCTATTAGAGGCATAGAAACACAAAAAGAAAGAGAGAGAAAGAGAAAGAGAGAGAGAGAGAGAGAGAGAGAGAGAGAGAAACTAAGAGAGAAAAATAGAGTAAGAAAGAAATGGAGAGACTGGGAGGGACAAAGAAAGGCATAGACAGAAGGAGTGGAGTAAGAGAAATGAAAGAAATAGCACTTTTGTTTAATTTATTTGACAGGGTTAGACAGTGAGAGAGACAGAGAGAAAGGTCTTCCTTCCATTGGTTCACCCCCCCAAATGGCTGCTAAGGCTGAAGCTGCGCCCATCCGAAGCCAGGAGCCAGGTGCCTCTTCCCGGTCTCCCATGCAGGTGCAACATCCCAAGCATTTGGGCCATCCTCCACTGCCTTCCCAGGCCACAGCAGAGAGCTGGACTGGAAGAGGAGCAACCGGGACTAGAACCTGGTGCCCATATGGGATGCTGGCACCACAGGTAGAGGATTAACCAAGTGAGCCGTAGTGCCGGCCCCAGAAACAGCACTTCTATTTGCTGATTCATTCCTCAAATGCTTGCAACAGTTTAGGCTGGAACCAGGAACTCATTTAGTTCTCCTACATGGGTGGCAGGAACCCAGTTACCTGCACTAACACTGCTCCCAGGGTCTGCAATAGCAGGAAGCTGAAACCAGAAGCCTGATCAGGTCTCAGACCTATGTACTCTCATGTGGGTCAGAGGCATCTCAGCCAATAGGCTAAAGGTCCATAACTAGTACACAGCCTTTATAAGACTAACTATACCTAGCATTTTTAATTCTGTATGATATTTTAACTTTTATGATCAGATTCTCCCTATCTCTTCATAGCAAGTCAGGCTGCAAAACCTTGAACTCAAATTCAGGTGAGCTAATATGAACATTTTCTTACCAGCTAGGTGGGTTCTGACGGTTGTCTCCATTACCCACTTATTTTTCTAGCCAGAAGAAACCTAGAAATTCCCAGTTACTATGTCAAATGTCTGTCCATTTCTTTGCCTTTTGTTAGCTCTTTAAATTTTCCATGCACAGGTATGCAGACAAGGTGTGGTCTCAATTTCTGCTTTTAAGTGATTTTCAATAAAAGTACTAAATTTATCTATTGAAAGCATCTGAGTTATACCTTTCTCATATTGCCCTTTTCCACTCTTGTCACCTGTGTGGCTACTCTGAGTCACATTCAGGTTAGATGCTCACCTGACCACTCTACTTATATCAGAGGACCATGGGATAAAGGTTATCAGCAGAAAACAATGACTTGTTAACTTCATCCCACATTACTCTCTGGATCTGTTTAAATTTCCAACTAGCAGAAGTGTGAGACTACAACCATGAGCAAGGCGTACAAGCCCTGTCTTCGTTCAGCTGTTTCCTGTGCTTTTGGACTCACTGTCAGATTTCTGAATGCACCACAGGTCATGATTTAGACAACCAATGCCTCTTATTCTTCATGATCCTGCTGTGGAGATTCACAACACTGCATGGTCATCTAGACTTCTCTTTTACCTACAAGATATGGCATCTTCTTCTCTACTTCTTAGAGAATGACTTCAAATGTTATCTCCCTGGAAATGTTCCTCAATTTCTCCAATAAGATAAGCCACTCCATCCCATTTGTTTTCATAGAGTGCTGTAGAAACCTCTGTTTTAGCCCCTAATAACAAGGTACTGCAATGCTATTACTGGTCTTTTTGTTTCATTATAAACATTTTTTTTACACCTTCCCACAGTCAAATCTACAACCTGTGTCACAGTATAAGTTAGAGAAATCAGAGTTAAATATGTGTAAGATTTCTGAAACCAGAGATGACTGTCCAGTCATCCCATCACTTGGATCTAGATCACACTTGTTCTTAATCTCCAGGCCAGAGAGTTCAAAACTACAGAAACACATACACACACATACACACACAAAAAAACATATGTACCAGTATGAATCCAAGAGTAAGAAACATGATATACCTGATTGACCATTGTATTAACAATTTCTTCTTTTTTCTGCTCTGAAGATCCTTGACTCTGCAATAGATTTCGCACCGTTTCTTCCATCCTGAGAAATAATAATAATAATAAAAATGAAGGATTCCTTAAAGAAGGTTCCATGATCTTGAATCTATTCTGGTTAGTAGAAATCATTCTTCACGCATTTCCCAAATTTGGACCTGGAAATATCTCTTCTCTTTCATCCCTTCCATTAAGAATTTGCCATGAAGTCCTTTAAAACACTGTTCAGAATATGTCTCTGGGTTCTCTATCCTTTGCCTTAGACATTTGTACTTACACACAATTCTCCAATATCCCACTGTCTCTCTTCATTTCCAAGTGCTCCCTTGGAATGAAGAGTAATCTTCCTGAAACACCACTGTGATTTTTTTAAAATTCAAAGTTAAGAGACAGATCATACGATCTGGCTAAAAGGTCCATGAGAGTCTCACAGGCAAGGAAAGCCACGACATGGTGGCAAAAACAATCTAAATGAAAGATCCTGGTGAACAAGACCCCAGCAGAAGGAACAGGCCATCAAGGAGGGAGGCACCTTTCTCCGAAGGAAGGAAGGAATCTCCACTGTGATATGGCCTTGACTAAACAAGTTCAGAGCTGGTGAACTCAAGGGGCTTCCATAGCCTAGACAGCTCATGGCAAGAGCCTCGGATGATTGCTGACGTCATAAATAAGAGTGCCAATTGTTAAATCTACAACGGGAGTCACTGGGTACATGCTCCCCACGTAGGATCTCTGTCCTTAATGTGTTCTACTATGAAACTTAAAAGCAACACTACTAGTCGAACAATACCCTATACCTTGTGCGGTTGTGTGAGTGCAGCCTGTTGATCTTCTGTATATGGAGGTAATTGAAAATGAAACTCGATGAAGGGCTGGTTGGGAGAGGGAGTGGGAGAGGGGAGGGTCGCGGGAAAGAGGGAGGTTGGGGGGGAAGCCACAACAATACTTCTTAGTATTTCATGGTGTCAATACACCAATACTAAGAAGTGATTGAAGAGAGGACATAGGCCACTATGAAAAGGTATGGCAGTGTATTGATGGAGAGGATGCATTCATATGATGTCTCTTTTTTTTTTTTTGGAGGGGGGATTTTTTATTTTTATTTTATTATTTAATAAATGTGAATTTACAAAGTGCAACTTTTGTATTGTTGTGGCTTCCCCCCCAACCTCCCTTTTCTCTTTCAATAAATATCTTTGTACATGTTTATGAGTATTTCTATAGGCTATTATTATTGCATGCCTCCAGTGTTATTAACTGGTTTTAAATTCCAACTTACGATGGCTTCCCATTGCCTCTTAGTGAAATGTGAAGGAAACACACTTATTTCCATTTCTATTTCTAGAAATTTGTTCATGCTGTGGCTACTCCTTAGAATACCAACCCCTTGTCAAATTCTTATATCCCAACCATATTTCCCAATCTACCTCTAGCTTTCTTACCTAAAACACTTCCTCACTGATATCTTACTTCTTGGAATTCTTGCAGCTTTCTATTTTAAGTCATTGATTCTCTGACATAGAAGCCTGTCAGTATAATGCTCAAATATTTCATATATGCATGCCTAGTCTTTTGGAGTAAGAGACACGTAGATCTTGTCTCCTGTTATGTGTCTCTCTCAATTACAGGTAAAGTAGGTATTCAGTGGACAATGCACAGCTGCTAATTTTAAAAAAGAACAGGGCTAGGCCGGCGCCGTGGCTCAATAGGCTAATCCTCCACCTTGCGGCGCCGGCACACCGGGTTCTAGTCCCGGTTGGGGCGCCGGATTCTGTCCCGGTTGCCCCTCTTCCAGGCCAGCTCTCTGCTATGGCCAGGGAGTGCAGTGGAGGATGGCCCAGGTGCTTGGGCCCTGCACCCCATGGGAGACCAGGAAAAGCACCTGGCTCCTGGCTCCTGCCAGGATCAGCGCGGTGCGCCGGCTGCAGCGGCGGCCATTGGAGGGTGAACCAACAGCAAAGGAAGACCTTTCTCTCTCTGTCTCTCTCTCTCACTGTCCACTCTGCCTGTCAAAAAAAAAAAAAAAAAAAAAAGAACAGGGCTTGGCATTGTGGTACAGCAGGTTAAATAGCCACCTGCAATGCTGGAATCCTATATGGTCCTGGTTCAAATCCCAGACTTTCAATCCAGGTCCCTACCAATGCATCTGGGAAAGCAGAAGAGGAAGGCCCAAATCCTTGGGCCTCTGAACCCAGATGGGAGTCCTGGATGGAGTTCCAGGCTCCTGGTTTCAACCTGGCCAAGCCCTGGCCATTGCAGTTATCAAAGGGAGTAAATCAGTAGGAGGAAAATCTGTCTTTACCCCAATCTCTCTGTAATTCTGCCTGGCAATAAGAAAATCTTCAAAAAAAAAAAAAAAAAAAACAGATAAAGTACCCTGTGTCAGGCTTTTGACATGTATTTAGAATGTTTGAATGGCCTTGTCCTTGAGGCCCTGCTACAAGAATCCATAGGGCAGAATGCCAAGATCAGGATGCTAGAACTCAAGACAGTGAACATACTCCTCTCCTGCAGAGAGCCCAGGTTGGTGGTCTTTTCCAGTCACACCCTGAAGCATGTATTTCAGAGACTCCCTATGACAACGGAGAGAGTACTGAGGAAAGTGGGCTAGTCTGGCTTCTCCTTACTAAGGGCATCCAGGATGACAAGGAGGTCTACGAGTCCCCCCAGGTGACCATGGTGGTATAATCCAAAGTGCCAATCTTTCTAATATAGCACACAACTTCTTAGCAAAGAGTGAAGGAAATGCAGAACGGGCACCATCCAAATCAGGATTACTAATTGGGGAATTCTGCCTTCTCACAGGAGGCACCAGAAAACACCTGGACTTTCCAGAAGACAACAGTACTGGTTATGAGCACTCAAAGAATGACTTGTAGGACAGATGCTGTGGTAAAGTGAATTGGGTCACTGCTTGGAACATCTGCATCCCATATTACAGTGTTGGTTTGGATTCCAACAGCTTCCTGCTAATGCACCTTGGGAAACAGCCGATGTTAGTCCAAGTACTTGGGCCCCTGCTGCCCATGTAGGGATTGTGGGTTGAGTTCTGGCTTTGGCCTAGCCTAGCCCTGGCTGTTAATGGCATTTGGGGAGTGAACCAGCAGAGGGAAGCTCCTGGCTAGTATACATGCTCTTTCTGCCCTTCAAGTAGATGAAAACAAATGTTTTTTAAAAAGAATTATTTTTGATCACACATTTGCACAAGTCATCTCTTCAAGTATCCAACTGAGATAGCAGAATCTATTCCTTCTATTTTTCACAAGTCTTATTTGATTGATATTAAGCTAAAAGTACTATTTGATTTTCAGTTATCAAAGAACTCTCTTATCTAATAGTCACTAAAATGTATGCTTAAAATATCATTCTATTTGGTAGATGAGCCACATAAAGCACAGAAAGGTTAGGCAACTTACTTAAGGGATCATGGTTAATCATGGTTAATCACTCTTTTATTTTATTTATTTGACAGATAGACAGTGAGAGAGGGAGAGAGAGAGACAGAGAGAAAGGTCTTCCTTCTATTGGTTCACCCCCCCAAATGGCTGCCAAGGCTGGAGCTACGCCAATCTGAAGCCAGGAGCCAGGTGCTTATTCCTGGTCTCCCATGCAGGTGCAGGGGCCCAAGCACTTGGGCCATCCTCCACTGCCCTCCAGGGCCACAGCAGAGAGCTGGACTGGAAGAGGAGTAACCAGGACTAGAACCTGGCAACCATATGGGATGCCCTTGCCACAGGTGGAGGATTAACCTAGTGTGCCATGGCGCCAGCCCCGAGCCACTCTTATAGATCCTAAACATTTTCTTTTCAATCAACCTTACTGGCATTTGGGGAAGTAATTTTAAATGCATATAACTCTCAGCTCCTAATTAAGAGGTATTTGGTGAACATGTCTTAGATGCTCAGGCCAAGAAGACAAGCATTGTTCCTGATTTGGAGAGAGCTTAAGATCTGGTAGAAGAGAAAGAAAATAAGCCTACATGGAAAAAAAAAAGGTGGGAAAAAAGTCAAATTCTGAAATAGTAGGTGATCAGAGCCAATTCTAGGGCGGTATTTAATTTTATGTAAATAATCTTGAGTAGTAGATTTTTCGTGATGCTTGCCAAATCTAACATAAAGAAAGGAACAATGGTTCATAGACTTGCCTAGGGTCACTCAGCTCATTCATGGCAGGTCAGGGTTGGTCTTCTCATTTTCTAAGTCATGTGCCACACAACAGCATTTTAGTAAATCGCAGATTGCATGGTCAAGTGATGTTGTAGCCCTGAGTATGCATAAATACAACCTATAATGTTTACACAATGACAAAAAATGCTTAAAAACACTTCTCAGAATGGATTCCCATAGTTAAGTGACAGATAACTTGTCTGCTTTCTAAACAGATTAGCATGGGAGATGAAAGTCTTATTTCATCTCATATTTCATTCATAAGTAAACATCTAATATAGATGTGGTAGAGATCAGCTAAAATAAAATTATGTTTTTTTAAAATGCTGTTAAAACACATTATGTCTCAGTGCAATTGCTGAATTACATGTTCTATATAATTAAAAGATCTATCTACAATGCAGTAGATCATAAAAGAAAAAAAAACATTTATTCACCTTTCACCCATTCTTCCTAGTTTTATATTTTTTTTTAAAAAAGGAAACATTGGAGGCAGACAGGAAATTCCTGAAACAATTTCAGTCCAGAACCCTCAGTAATACTATGAACAGTTCTCTGGCACTACTCTAACTATTAATTAAAACCAATTCCATTTTCTTTTTTTAAGATTTATTTATTTATTTGAAAGTCAGAGTCACACAGAGAGAGGAGAGGCAGACAGAGAGAGATCCTCCATTCAATGGTTCATTCTCCAATTGGCCAGAGCTGCACCGATCTGAAGCCAGAAGCCAGGAGCCCCCATCCCTCACCCCACCGGGTTTCCCATGCAGGTGCATGGGCCCAAGGTCCTGGGCCATCCTCTTACCGCTTTCCCAGGCCACAGCAGAGAGCCGGACTGGAAGTGGAGCAGCCGGGTCTCAAACCGGCACCCATATGGGAT